ATAACAACTTGAATACATGAGCAATTTTCATGAATGTGTTCTTGAAAATCTGGGAGGGGGAAAAAAAATAAACGTGTTATCAAAAAAAATTTTACACCTACTTTTTCACGTAGCCTTTCACAACGACTGTGCTCTGTGCTTGTTTTTGCTGCAAACTTCTTAAAGTGCATTTAAAAAGAACAAAAACAGTAAAAACAAAATATTAACAATGAAGCTGGAGGATGACTTGGAAATACACTGTAATTACATTGTAATAAGGTTGTTATTAGATGGGTTTCTTTGTTCATTTTCTATTGACTGCTGATTTAAACCTGTTGGTGAGGGTCTATGCACGGGAACAAGGTGCTTCCTGCTCCAATATTGTGGTCATTTTATCAGAATGAATTTTTAAGAGCTTTTGGGTGTTTCATCGATTTCTCAGTGTATGGATTTATTCCAAACTCGTGCTGAAAAAGCTCATACAAACTTCATAGCGTGGGCTCTTGCACAACCAGTTAGCAGGACCTTTCCTTTTACTATTTTTTCCCCAAAGTGTTGGACTACTTTGAGGCCACTTGGGTTTAAGGACCTTGGAGCACGCTGTGTCTCTGTAGACTTTTAAAATATGTGGAAGTTACATAGCCCCTGATGTGATGTTGTTTCAACATTGCAGACAGCCACAGTGGTCTCATAATGGCAGCTGGTTACCTTTCGGGGAAAAACAAGGGGGCAAGGAACAATACGGAAAGGCAATAAATTCAAACCGTCTGGTTGTTTTTATGGGCTCGGTCTGATAAAGAAATCAGGGTCTTTTCCATCCTGTTGTCATCAGCAGACATATAGGATATACTGCTCGTCATGGGACTTTTTAGCCACTTGCTGTTTCCATTTCCTGCACAGCACATAACCGAAGGCCAGCGGGCCACCCTGCCACCAAAGCTACAACCTAAGCCTGTTGAGCTATCAGAAACACCCTGCTTGGCTTTGTTTTCCGAGGAGGACAATGGCTGAGGGATTCGTCTGTGTGGAAAGTTCCAAGTTGCTGCTGCTGTGAAAAACACGACCCCGCCGTTAGGTCGACTTTGGGTAACTTCCACACACAAAACTATCGTCATATTGTGTCTGTGTGTTTGTTGTTCCAGCCTCATCTTTGTGCATACTGAGAGGGAAGTTCACACACGCCCAGATCTCTTTTCAGCTCTCCCATCCCGCCCAAATCATGAGAAAAACTACAGTCCAGCGGTCTCTCTCTTGTGCAACGCTCGGACTCCGAAAGAGTCTGTTGGTGGAGTGAGATTGTTGGTGTTTTCAGGCCTTTATGACCTAAACCTAATAGACTTTGACGATGCATTTATCCACTGAGCTCCTCATATCTTGCTCTTCTCTCCTCTTTTTACCGTTGGAGTGATTCTGTTTCTAGTGATCCTGGTGGCCTTATATTAATGGAGAACACAGCTTAAGCTTTCAGCACTCGTTGTATAATTGGTTGGCCCCTTCGGAGTGTTTTGCACTGGGCATTGGAGGAACAGTATATCAATACCCCTTCATGAGCCAAGACAGATGGACTCTCATTTGGACCAGGTTCAGAATAGTGTGCTTTTGTGTAAAAAAAGCTCCCGTAGGAATAAGTTAAGGGTTTCCACCGAATCCAAAACCTCCCAGCTACAACAATAACATCTGCGGTTTGGATTAGACACGTTGGTGATATCACCCTTTTTTAGTAATTTGCCTGCAGAATCTTACAGCCAGTCGTTATTGTCTGTGAAGTCTATCGAGGCACAGGATCCAACACAAATGATCTGCGCTGCAGGACACGGTTCAAGTTCTTTGGCAGCGGCCGATGTTTTCATTTATTTGCTGCTAATGCTTTACTATTGGCTTCACATTTTTCTGTCACACTGACACCTCAGTTTAAAGAAGTCACGTCTTCGGAAAAACGAACCAAATCCTGTAGATTTAAAACAACGTAGCAACGCGATCGTTTTTCAGATACTTTAATTATGTAAATGTAATGTAATCTTTGACAACGGGAATATACTTCAACAAAAACGAGACACTATAATTTGTAAGTGCTTACTTTTCTGTACAGCATAGAAATGCTCCTTGGCTCCACTCAGTTGCTTTGTAGCAGAGAAAATATGATAGTAATTTGTACACAATATGGACAAAAGTACTGCCACCTACACTTTACACCTACATGAGCTGCTCAGCCATGGAAATCCATGCATGAAGCTCTTGGCACACAGTTTTTGTACTGATGTTAATGATGTTAAAGATGTGGAACTCTGTAATTTTACGCACTAAATGCTTCTGTAACGTTACACGGTCCGACACTTTGTGGCTGAGTTGCTTTGGGTCCTAAATGCTTTGCAACAGAGACAGTATAAAAGATGCACGTAGCTGCTATGACATCACCCACTAGTTTTCTTAAGTTGCATTTTGAACCCTCGACATGAGAGTTTCCTCCAACATAACTGCAACAAAACCCTGGATGTGTGAGTCTGGTTATGAAACAGCAAAGTATTTGTGATTACCAACTGGTTTGCTGTTCAGTTTGATACCACATATAATCAAACATGTTATAACAAAACAGAAAACTGCTATAGGACTGGAAGAGTTTTTGCAACCACAGCTGCTATCTGGTAGCCTGGTTTTTGGCACTTCCAGGCCGGTTTCATTTATCTGAACCAGAAGCTATGTCCATGTTTTATACACTTTATGCTTTGCAATAATAGAACTAAAGCAGAGGTGCTTAATTTTATACACCTGGGGACATAGGAATGAAACATATAAATGATAAATTTAAGATATGTAACCTAACACGTTTGTCCCTACAGTTTAAGTGTAATGGCACCAAAAAGAAACATCTTCATGGCTCTTATGCACAGTTCCTATACAATACTGTGCAAAAGTCTTGAGCCACCCCTTCATTTCTCTATATTTAGCTAGGAAAATGGGAAATAGGTGTTTTTTTTGTTTTTTGTTTGGAGACATCTCCACACATTGATGAAAACACAGCAGACACGACACTGGTTCATTCCTTGAATTAGAACCCGTTATTTTTATGCTACAATGATCCACAGGTCAGTGTTAAGTGGCTTAACAACAAAAATTAATAAATAAATAAAAAAGGCCAGTTTGTCTTCAAATGGTTAGGTAAAGATAAACTTTGAAAGACCTTCAGATAGTCAAGAAAACTTCTGGTCAAGACCACTTTAAAAAATTACAAGTAAGTCCGGCTCTTTGGAAGCAAAGTATAAAGAATAAAGGGGTGAGTTGAGACTTTTGCACATGAGTGTAATTTGTTAAATTGATGGCTTTTTATACTCTTTATTCTGTATATTGTGCAATAAATCTCAATAAATGTGCAGCTTTTTTATTGCAACGATATGTCAAGATCTAAAAGCTTTAAACTCAACATTGATGCGAGCATCTGGTATTGGATCTGACAGCTGCAATGTCTACATCAGTATTTTGTCATTATTTAAAATGTAACCCTTTTTAACTACCTGCTGCATTAAAGGCAAATCTGTGTGTTTACCACTTTACTGTGTGTCAAATCCACTTATTCTTATTCCTCCTGAACTCTTTTCCTGTACTTAGCGTGTAACTACCAAATAAGTATTTGCATGAGCTCTCATACCCAAATTATACTTTTGGGAGGCTGTAATCTAGAGTGTGACCAGAATGGAAAATTTGGCAGGACTTTCAGGAACATTTTATTGTGTTTGATCTTTGCTTCTTATGTCTTGCAATGCAAAATTCATGTTACAAAGTGGTTTCCAGTTGCAGCTGAAACTTGAAGCAAATAGTAGGAACTGTGTTGTTGTGTCATGATAGCAAAAGAAGCTTTTTGATCATAAGAGGAAATAGGAGCTAAACATGCAATTTCAGCAACAGATCCTCATTTGTTTGTTTTTCTTTCTTTTCTTTTTCTTTTCTTTTTTTTTTTGCACAGCTTTATTTCAAATTAAATTTCAGGTCTGTTAAGCTGTTCAATAGCCAAACACGCATCAATCATTTTCATTACAGCCATCTAAAATCCAATGTAAAAGTAAAAAATAAAAGATCGACAGCAAAACACCACAAAAGCCACATTTTTTTTTGTCATGTGTCATTAAATATATTCATTTTCGATAAACATAATATATTAGTATTACAAGACATTACACAACCATTTGCAATGGACACTGCTAAACAACATTTACAAGCCAATGTATTAACATGAGCAGATAATTATTCTGATATAATATCCATGGAGAACAAAAGTCTGGCGGGCCGTACCTTTCTGCAGATGCCTGCAGGTTGAAAAATGTCGGTACAGCTGAGTGAGCGAAGACTTTGTAAAAACTTTGTAATCAACAAATACATACAGTATGATGCACAGAGTACTGAGGTGTACCCGTGTATTTACGTCAAAGTGTACATGTGTGTATTTGGGTGTTGCTTGTGTGCGCGCGTGTGTGTAAATTCAGTCCAAGTTTCTCTCAGTGTATGTGTGTGTGTGTGATTGTGTGTGAGAGAGAGTATGTGTGATCCCCTGGGTGCACAACATGAGAAATTTGTCTGACATTCATTTGTTTGTCTTTTTCTTTTATTAAGCCTCTAGTATTTAAAAAAGAAAAACTCTGGTTAATTTCACATGGATAGATCTAGTTAATGTTTTAACAACAACAAAAAAGTAATACTATACAGCTATATAACATGTAGACAATCGGTCATGCCTTTTTGTCCAGTACCAAGTCTTAACGATGAAATTCAGTCCTCAGAAAGTCGTTTTGAGGTGAAGAATATTTTACACAGTGTGCTAAATAAACATCTGTGATATTTTTTTTTATCACTCCACAGGTTATTTTCCCACAACATTGAATATTGTGTACAAAGTAAATGTGTACATAATTCACAATCATCATTAGCCAGTCAGCTACAGTAAATAGTGAGCATGCAGTTTGTCAGTGGTATGAGGTTTGCTTGATAGGTCGATATTCTCTCTCTCTCTCTCTCCCCCCCCCCCCCCCCCCCCCCTTTATTTAATGAGGTGAAATAGTTCACTTCATCAGTTCTCCCACTGGGAAATGCTTGGGAAGTCCAACTTACAATTAGTCCTTTATTAAAGAAAAAAAAAAACTACATTCTGACTCCACTGTAGTTGTGATTTATACAGGGTTGTTACAGTCCACCAGAAACATCAGCCTATGGAGTCATGAGTGAGGCAAGCGGGGTTTCTACTAGCTATACATTCTATTAAATGGTAAAGGCTTGTTTTTTTCCCTTTTTTGGACAGCACTCTAAAAATGTTGGAACATATTTTATATGTTCTTAAACGTCTGACTAGTAAAAATAAGTGCATGGTTGACAAATCTACTCTACACCTACTTGATGCAACGGCATCGTCTACTAAAAATAATGTCTATGTATCCAAATATGGTTACTTTACATTGCAGAGGTCACAACCACAACATACTGTTGATATATCAATAAGCGCTGAGCAAAGGCTTGCTTGTAGTGAGATCATTGTACAGAAAAATGGCATTTTTTTTCTTGTTTTACTGAGGTAACACTCGCCTATGAGCAAGAATGGCACTATAAGACAACAATTACCATTTTTTCACTTGTATCTGAAACTTTTTTGCTAACGTTTGGCAGGTTGTGGAGAGAAACTACGGCCGTGCTATAAGTCTTCATTGAACTAGACAATGATTTTTACAGCACAGTGGAAAAAGATCCTCTGAAGACACAAACAGGGTGACAGAGAAGATGTGTCACTCTTTAAAAACCGAGCAAGGGGCTTTAATAAAAATGCATTGTGGGTAAAATGATCAGGGTGAGACATATCTGTAACACTAGGTGCAAACTCTGCAATAATACAACAAAACAACCGCTGAAAGACAGACTGTTGAATGAGCTCCTTCACAACTGTTCCTAAAGAAGAAAACACTAAACTCTTCGCTCCAGCTCAGAGCAGCAGCACTCAGTCATTTCCACATTTCTCCTACGTATTACCTGTCTCTCTATTTTTAATTCTTCCAGTTTTTTTTTTCATCCATCCTTATCCCTCGTCCTTGATTTCATCCCATCAGAGGCCTAATTCTGCCTCTGACTCTTTTTTCCCTCTCCTCTGCAGATACTTTTAGCACTTCCCCCTCTTGTCGCGCTGTTGGAACTTCCTCAGCCTGCGGCCCCACAGGTCCTTCCAAGGGATGAGGAGGCTTCCCTTGTCGGCAACTACGCCGCTCTGCCCAGGGGAGTCGTCGTCTGTACCCAGGAGCAGGTACTTCCTTCCGGGCTTAATCTTGGGACATTTGCAGGCCACGTCCTTGGCGCGCACCCACAGCAGCTGGTCTCCACGACGAATGCGGTGCTCACCTTGTTTGTAGATAGAAATGATGTTGACCGTGAACTTCCACCACTCGCCCGCCTTGTCACCCTTAAGAACGTGCACTTGAACAGCTGGTTTAAGAGAAAAGCACAGGTTAAGTCACCCACAAGAAAAAGTGATTCAAGTCATATAATAATATAGTAATATAGTGTGGATATCAGCACCCCTTGTACTGGTTAAAATCTAAATATCTGGCTAAAATTACAGGTAAATGTCAAATTCTTTACCAAATTCAATGCAAACCAGCAGGGGTGTGTCTACAGCTGAGGTATGGGGTGCACCATTTAACTGAACATATAATCCCCAACACCAATTAAACATTAAAGATGTATACGCAATAATTGCAGCCCAATAATATCCTGAAGAAGACTGTAAAAAGTGTCATGTTACATGAGTACATTTAAGGTACTTTAAGTATATTTCAATATACTAGTATACAGTGAACTATTGGGGCACTTAAAAAGGATTGTATCTTATACTTCTTTTCTACTTTTCAATAAAGTATCCATCAACAAGGCTATTTTCAAATTGTTAAGCAGGTCTGCTTTCCTGATAACAAATATGCAATAGGATGCACGGCTGCATAACTTGAAAATTGTGACTTGTATACACGTTTTCCACGTTGAAGTACATTAAAAATTTCTGACTAAATAGTCTGATTTCCTGTGGCCCCTCTGGTGCATTCTCAGTCACTCCCCATTTTAAAAGTCCTGGAAACAACCCTGGATACCAGTGACAGAAAAACATATTGTAACAGTGTCAACTTGTATAATATAATTATAATTATATAATTATATATCAAATCGACTTCTATAAGTATACACTACAGCAAATAGAGCCCTTCAAAATTATTTTAAATGACCACATTTGCCTTGAGATGAATTAGTGAAGTGGAAAAATAGTGGGAATGATTGACAAGCACCTTCTATTTCAACAGCGTTTATATATCATTGCATGAAAGGGTGAATAAAAATGTCTGTTTGAACCCAGTAATCTGCAGCATATCACAGGCCCCTCCCTTCATCTCTGACCTAGGACCTTTCCTTTTCGTGCCCCTGAGCACACTCCCTATTACAGCAACAGTTTCCACAGCACTCCCTGACTCCCTTTGCACTACGCTTTCTGATGTAGAACATCTGAAAGCACGCACCGGCATAAAAGGGCACGGAGGCATTTTACTTTTAGGTGGCCAGGCTGGGTTCTTTAACCCAGAAGAAATAGGATATAGGGTTCTCTAATTCTCTTTTCAAAACATAACTGGCCAAAAAAGAAGTTTTATAGGAAAACACCACATCTGCTAGTAATATAACTTCTGAAACGAATGCTTTTCAATTGGTCTTTCAGGTGTTAGATCTGAACATCTAAACACGGACGTCCTCAGGCTAAATCAGGCCAAACCTGGTAACTATTGGTGCACCACTTGCAAGTGAATTCATACCAGGATGTGACTCGAGCTCCACTCGCTGACGCTTTCTTGTGTAGATTCTCCATCAAACCAAGCAGGTAATTACTGCATCACTAAGATAGCAGCAAGAGCCAAACAGCGAAGACGCTGGAGCTAATATGTCCTTCAAGTGAAGGACTCTTCCTGGGAGGGAGGGTTAGCTTGGTATGCATAGTATATCATCTAAGCTCCAGATTCTCAAAGAGAGGCCCGCGAGTGGTTCATCAAGCAACTATATTCTGCTTTTCATACATCAATTGTATTATAAAACAGTAAACCATGAATTGGAATCCCTAAATTGTCATCACATTGATGGAGCTTGGATTTAGAAATGACTAACTATAGAGTGCTACTGAGATGTATGGAAAGTTTGTACACTTGTCCTCTTGGTCGATGTCCGTGCAAGCTTCTCCCGTGCCAGTAAGGACGCTTTTTAGCACCTAAACACAATCTAATCTGGACAAGACTTCATTAGATTCCATATAATGCTCATTTGTATACCCAATTTAACGCTGTGTCAGCTAATGCGTTACCTCTGCAGTTTTATAATAATAACAAAATAGGGTTTACTTTCTCTGTTTTTAAAGCAGGTTGGCCTTATAGTCGCCTTTCTGGCTTAACACGATCACTTTCCGTGTTCATCGCCCGTCTTATATCGCTGCCAAGAATGCAGAGAACTGAAGGAGTGGGGTGTTTAAGTATGTGTGTCGATGCATGGTGTGAGCAAATTGCACACAATTTCAGAAGAAAGAAGGTTTGTTGGGCTGAGTAGAGGGAGCTCTCACAGCCCCGCCATTCATCGCAGCCCTCTCCTTCATCCAGACACATAAAGGGTGTGTGAGGAGGAGGAGGGGGAGGAAAGGAGGGGCCACTATTTGTCTTCGCAGCCACAGAAAAAGTTCCAGCAGAATCGGGATGTGTTTCCGACCTCATGAGCTGTCCGGGTTCTGCTCCCAGAGCCCCATCCAACTTCGCAGCGTGAGAATCCAGTGGAGATAGCGCTCTCCTCCCCAGAGCTGCTGTGCTCGACTCATTGGAGGAGACTCTGTCAGGCGCAGTCTCTCTGTCAGGGTCTGCCTCTCTCTCTTTCTCTCTCAAGTATGTTTTCAGTCTTTGCGACGTATTCAAACACACACAAATCCACACACACCTTCTGCCACTTGGTTTGAGCTAAATAGACAGCACAGAGGGAACGGGAGCACGGGGTCAAGCAATCTATTACAAAATAGCACACACTGTTTGGTGAGGCAGACTGTGAGAGGAAGTGTGAGATGATCCTGCAACTCGCACAATGGCTGCCAACCGAGCCTCCCTCTCACAGCCAAACTTCCCACTGGGTTTATCTTCTTTGGGTGTGCTGCGACTTGACACTGCGTGCCACCAACAGGCGAGGGCTAATGAAATTAGAGCTCGCTTAATTACCGTGCAGAGGCCCCTGTCCCCTCTGGTTATCAGCTGAGTGAATGATCAGGGACCTGTTACCCTCGGGTGAGCGAAGAGAGGTGGCCAGCTAGGCTGGGAGGCCCTGCCTTTGAGCACCATCCCGGAGCGTCGGTAAACACGCGGCCCTTTGATTCATTGTCCTCCCTGTGGCAGGGAGAAGGGAGGGTATGTGTGTGCAGAGGAGGGTGTCAGGCGAGAATATAATCCCTTTATGTCCTCCGTCTCCGTAGCTACGGCAATGATGAAAAACAAAAATTGAATAAACAAAACATATTTCTTTTTCTCCGGGGTGGCAATCCGTCACCGTCTGGTTAATTTACCACCTGTTTGCGCCCCGAGGAATGCTCTGTGCCGGCGGAGTGCACAACTGTGTTTAAACAGAGGGCCCCTTCCCGTGACCCCCGGGGGGCCTGCATCGCCACTCACACATGGGGGTGCCCCCCCCTCTCCGAAGAACAGAAAAGAGACTCAAAAACCCCACAAAAGCGAGGCGACAGGCCTGAGAAATGAATTAGACCACGGCAAAGGAAATGCATGCTAAGCAATGATGTCTGCCATAATGCCCCAGTGCCGCGCCGCCAGAATCATCTGCTTCCAGAGTTTTTTTCCGCTTTTTTTTTTTTCTTTTTTCTTAATGAACGTGGCAGATTTTTAGCTGCACGGCCTGTCTCAGCTCCAGTAACTAAGACTTAAGTCAAGGGAAATATGAATAATAGCTAAATTTGGCTCAGTAGCAAAATGTCACAAATGGACTGAATTATTGTCTTCCCAACTGTAACGGGCAGGGGCGGGGGGTCAAATACAGTTGGGCAATTTACAGTTGGATGCTGTTTAAAGTGTAACTGATGACGTTTCACCAATGATTTTGATTGAAAGACACATTAGTCAGCTCTGACAGAGATCAACGTAACTGGAAAGGAACGGCTCTCAGCAGCCCTGATCAGGACAAACTTTTTGCAGCAACCAGTTTTTGCATGAATTGACATGAAGTTAGTTTTAGTGAGTTAACTAAAAACTGGGTGGTTTACCTTTTCCGGATAATGTGCTGAAACTTTTTGTGTATCTGTCTCTGTTGTTAACAAATGTGGTTCCAGTGATAACAGATAATGGATAACAGTGTGACTGATTAGCATTGCTGAAAATCTGCATTGAATCATTTACCATGTAGATGAAGGGAGAGATAGAGTGAAATTAAATAACTGCATATGTTATTTTGTCTATTTTATCACCCCATCACTGTGTGGTTGTGGTTTCTGCTTCATAATGGACCTGCATCATTAATCATCAAAACATCAAATATCCTGCAGCCAGTTTTAACACAGTGATAGTGATATTTATATACACCTGGCACTGCCGTGTTAACGGTTTGTTGCAGCCGCTTCGTGTCCTGCACATTCACTGACGACATAATTTGATTTCTGTGTATTTTGGCCTCCCTTATAGTTTGTGACTTGCTCTGAAATTGCAGTAGGTTTTGCAAAAAGCTTCAGAATAACCAGCCTGGGCAAAGCGTATGTGAGTGTGCATGTTTGTGCATCTCTTTGTCTTTTACAAACTCTGCTGCAGGGGTGCAAAGCTGCTATAATTTTAACATAGTTCAGACATCCATACTGTGATTCTTTTACAACTGGTTGTATATATATGGCTTTTACCCAGTACAAAATAGTGAGAAAGCAATGCATCCTAAACAGTTCCTAATCTTCACATCTAAGCATTACTTTCTGTGAGATATAATAACTAACCTCATGTTGTGTTTCAGCCTTTTAAAATCACCAAAGTGATTAGATCACCCTTTTTGGATGTCAAGAACAATATCAGACTCACATCTGCATTGTAAATTTTTAGCTGGAGCCAAAAGCCAGTTAACTTAGCTGGCTATTAAGAAGAAGAAAAAAAGCTAATTTGTGGAAAACAAAAATCACAAATTATAATGTGCATGAAGTAATCAAATTAAATTCAGGCAAGTCACAAAGTAAAGCTTAGTCACTATCCCAGAAGATCAGCTAGCATCAGCAAATTCCATGTTGGATATCTATTTAAGCTGCTGTAGCCTTCACATAATCGCAGTGCATTTGCATGCCACTTTGCAACCCACCTGAACACCAACCAGCCCCACCTTTCATGCTGTGACTGACTTAATCAGTATCAGATCTGTTGATTCCTGTTTTGTCTTGCTGCTTCCCCCTCCTGCTTTCAAAGTATTTGTGTCAAAAATGGTAGCAGATCCACTGCCAAATCCAAATTACAGTGCATGGAAATAACAATCTTCCTTTAACTACAATGATTGATTGAATTATTAAATTTCCAGTTTTCGGCCAAAGTAATCTATTGCAAGCCAAGCTCAACTCAAGCCAGACTTTCTTCACGTTAGCTGGCTCCACAAAACCTAAAACCCCAGTAAGAGACAACCATGATGGTTGGGCTTACGAAGCCCCAGCTTTCTCTTGTTAGGCTTTGTGTGTGCTCACATAAAGTGAGACTTCTGTCTAATTTAGTCAAAAGAAACAGCTTGTGTAGGGCTGTGAAAAACCCCCAGTTATTTTGGCAAAAAGCAACAGAGGTGCTACAAAAAAAAAGGCCAGATCAAAATAAATTTCACATTACTGACTAAATATTCACTCTGAAAAATACTAATAGGCCATAATGGATTAAAATCTTGCAGTGCCCACAATGTCCCTCTGCTCAAGATGGCACATGTGCAGGTGCACCAGACGTTTTCTCATGAAATTGAGCTCTACGGCATCAACTGGACCCATTGTGTTTATAGGCAGCGAAATGGTGAGCATGACCCAAAGAACACCATCCTCTCAGTCAAGCACGGACGTGGAAACATTATGCTTTTGGACATTTTTCTGCTTAGGGTACAGGATGACTTTGCCGCATTGAAGGGCAAATGTATCCTGAAATGGATGGGTCTTCCAGCATGATAGTGACAGAAAACATACCAACTAAGGAGTGGATAAAGAAGAAGCACAATACGATCATGTAGAAAATTTGTGCACTTCCAAGCAACAGCAAAGAAAACGAAAGGATTTAGAGTTTCTGTAAAGATCAGTGGGCCAAAATCCCACCTGAGATGTGTTCAAACCTGGAGAATAAGTACTAAGTGATGTTTTGCTTGAGGATCAAATACTTATTTCAATCAATGAAATGCAAACAAATGTATAACTTTTAAGTAATGTGGGGGGTTTTTTTATGGTTTATTGATTGATATTCTGTCTCTTTGCATCAAAATGAAACTACCATAAAATATTTGACACTGTGCATTTCTTTGAAAGTGAGCAAATTTGCATATTCAGCAAAGGACCCTTTCATTACTTTCTCCACTGTATAGTTCCAAATGTTTGTATACGTACTTTAAATACTTTTTTGTTACAATATGACGTTTTTAACATATCATACTTTTGCTGACATATTAATTTTGTCCCATACTTTTCTCATACCTCACACTTTTTGATGACTGGTTCTAATCATGTAAGACCAGTAACTCGCACCAGTGTGCCAGTTGCAGCATCATCTGACCATCCACATTTGCGTTCAGGTACGGATCCTGTACGCATTTACATTTTCAAAACATCCTCTATTTCCTAACAAACACACTCTTTTAACACAAACATCTGGTATGAAGTCAGGCTGAGTGTGGTGACTGGCCAACTATTTTTATATCGCTATAGCCACGCAACTGCACAAGCAACTTTAATAAGTGACTTAATCAAGGTTAAACACCCACGGTGACCCATGCTAATGGTAATTCTGATGTATACGCACCTTCAAATGAGTCTCTATTGTACTCATGAGGGATAAGAAAAAGAAATATGTCACAAGCGTGATGCGATCAGATCAGCTGAATCAGCATAATAAATGAGCAATTACAACTTGACAGAATGTTGGCTGACGGTCACACATCTTGAAAAGCTTAATTTTCAGAAGAGTGCTTTTTTTTAATAAACCTTTTTTTTTCCAGGGGTCAAACATGTTAGCTTGAGTGCATGGAAACTCTCAGAGAGAGCAGAGATGGTTTTATATTAGTGGACGTGTTCTAAGGCTATTTAAAATAACCTAGCAGTAAAGCACAAAGACCAGCTACATGGTGTGGACTGGCTATGCTCCGGATCAGATTAATTGAGACATTTGACCTTGTGACATCTGGCGGGGCATGTTCCTGTGTGCTGGGCTCACTCACCGTAGTCTTTTTTACAGTATTTCTTCAACGTGATCTTCATTTTGCCCTTGGAAACTTTACAGTGAGATTCACAATCTGAGGAAAAGAAGACAGAGAAGGGGAAGGAGTTTATTAAGAAAATGTTTTAAATTTACATTCGCAGCATGTGAGCTTCGTCAGACAGGGCTTCAGATGGATGACCTTCACACTTAGTCCCTTACGTCACGCTCCTTGTGCCCCCGGGGTCTTAAGGATGCTTTCAAAGTGCCACTGTGAAACAGATTACAGCTTACACAGATCCTCCTGTGTCCGTCAACACGCTCCTACTATACGCCTCCCATGTTTTTCCATTCCAGCCCGCTCCCTCGTCACTGTCCTGGCATCCCTTATGTCAGCTCTGAGGGCTGCTGAGGTCACTCGTGCACAAGAGAAGGTCGCAGGGGGGGGGAATTAACCGAAGACCTACCAGACATTAGTGGGGACCCTTAGCACACTCTAAGCCACATGAGGCGAGAATGTGAATACTCTATAAGGCTGGCCGGGGCTAAATGTTCTGGATCCCTCCAGAGAGTAGCAGTGACAGAGAAGCTCACAGACTTATGATTAATGTCTCAGCACTTTTACCTCACTGTATGTGAACGTGGGTTTGAGCACCATGGGGCTTTATCGATGGCCACTCTGGTGTGCTGTCACCCCGCCAGGTACCTTTTGTAATGAGGAAGGTGGTGGTGGGACCAGAGGCCAAACTGAAAATTGAAATCATTTGTTCCCTCCACTTTCCACTGACTGACACAAATTGGAAGCAGACCATCTCCAAGTGTACCCCCGCCGCCCCCTCCCACTTCCCACTCTGCCTCTCACAGAGCAATAAGCCTTGTGCTCCTTTCTCTGGGGGGATGGGGGGTGGGGGGTGGGAAAGCTGGGCTGGGCAGTCTGAAGAGAAAGGAGGGGGGCAATTGAGAGAGAGGGGGAACCTTTCAGCTTGCCTGAATATGGACAAACTTCATTATTTCTTCCAGCCCTCTGTCCAGTCTTCCCCTTTCTTCCCCATTATACTCTGTGTGAATGAGGTTGCCTGGGTAATGATGGAGAAAGAAAAAAACACCCCTCTCCTCCCTCTCAAAAAAAAAGGAGAGAGAGAGAGGGAGAGGAAAAAAGAGCGGTTTGGGACGTGGGATGAGGATTGAATTCATGTATGTAGAGAAAGCATTTCTGCTGGAATTCCTGGCTGGTTTCTGGGTTGGCGGGAAAAATAAGAAAAGAGGAAATCCCAAAGTAAATGAATCTGACGAGTCCATATCGAGCGTGCCTGATTTCCATGTAAATGAAGTGGTGGTGGTGGTGGGGCTCTTTATCTCCTGCAGGCCCCTGGGGGCCTTCATCATACCTTTCTTTGATAGCTGACGTTGCCCATTAGCCCCTTAGCGCAATTGCTGCTGTGGGCCATTACACCCACGGCACTCATTAAGGTCCAATCTCCTGCTGTGAGGACAAACGCCCCCTTTGTGTATCTCTGCAGCAGTGCCACGTTCTTTCTGCGGGGTCCCCGGGGACCACACTGCTCCTAATTTGGAGGGTGGTGTCTGTTTGGAGTCTCTGACAGGAATCCAAACTCCACACAGCCTCGGCAGTCACTATAGCAGGAAGTGGGGCTCCCAACAAAGCACGCTGAAGTCAGTGGCGCCACTCTCGTCAGACGCTGATCGATGATCAGAGGTGACTCAGCCTATTTAAACAAACCTGGATCACGGTGAAAACTCATTAATATGCTGAAATTTATTTAAGCTGCTGTTGGTTATTTAAGAATAATTTGAAATAGGACAGAGCTTCCCCAAAAACTGCTGCACATACTAGCGTGGCACATGATCCAATGCCAGCAGCCTGACATGGAGATTCTTGTCAGAGCACATGAACAATAGGTTCAGGCAGAGCTTCACTGCTGGTACAGCCAGCCTTGATTGAAATACAAACTGGTGCAAATGAAGCATGTAATCAGATTAGGGCCGAAACCCCGGGGAGGCTGCTGGGCAGGCTGGGAATACGGGCAACAAGGCCACAGGGAGCACTGGCAAAATATCTGGAGTTTACATCAGCATCAGTCTGACCTCGCCGACGTGCGTTTAGCTGAGGAGCGTGGAAAGATGTGCGTGTGCTCAAAATGCACTTCTGATTTCACGCATGGAGGAACAGTTGGCTTAGTTAAAAGAAAATCCCACCCACGGTGATACATTAACATAGCTGAATTAATATAAATGAAAGGGCAACAGCAGGTTGAAAACAGAATATGTAGTAAAAAAAAATTATTATTTTAAAAACGACACAAAATCTCTTTGGTTACTCACCTGTCGGCTCCTCATAGCTGCTGTAAGTCGCTGTCGGAGATGCAGCTGGGATCTCTGTGACAAAGTAAGGAGCACAGTGAAGAGACAATTTTCTCTGCCGCCATATTGTTCTGTATATTGAATAGCGATAATTCCAACTGTGAGAACATGAAGGAATTTCCAAGTGCCGTCGGACACGAAGCTGATTTTGACACACAGATGTACTGAAAAGATTTCCTATTAATGTCCTGCTCCCTCCTGACTCTGGTATGTTGTAGGTACAGTGAGCCAAGGCCGCTGGTCTCGTTAAACTCGGAGCTGGCAGCGATTTAGATATACACAAAAATTTAATATCATACTATTAAAACCAAAAGACATTATCTGAAAAAGTTACAAGAAACCAAATCCATTCTACTCTACTAGCTGAGTCTCTTCCAGCTTTTACACCACATTTGTAACTGCCCCAGCAAAATTAAAGAGATCCTGGTCCAGCAGGTTTGCACTTTGAAATTATCTTTGTGAATTCTGGCCAAACACTCTGATTCTTACTGTACAAACACCACTGCTCCACTTCCACACATGGGCTTTATCAGAAATGTCAACCCTGTTAGCACAGGGGACAATCATTAGGGTGTATACGTCCACCGTGGACGTTGCTGTTGTCTTATCTGTTCATACCAGCCACCTACGATGTCCCGAGCTAAAGCAGCTACTAGTGACCCATCTTTGCTTTTGTGAGACGTTGGTGTTTACTGCCAAGGGCCTGGAATCTGCCAGGGATAGATACAGCCAATAAACATATCAGCCATCAATCCCTTGGATTCATTCCGGGGGATTTACTGCGAGTTAACGGCCTCGAAGGCAAACAAGGCCATATTAGTCAAGCTGTAATCGTCTGTTTATCCAGACTCAGGCTTAAACAGCCAAATATCTATCCAAAGTGATGGAACAAGGGGATAAAAATAACATGGGATGAGAGACAGAGAGCAATGGATTCATGGATAAAAAGGCACGGTCTGTCCTTTTCAGGTCCTCTCTGTGAGGCAACCTGGGTGTCACCACCTCCAATTAGAGGTGTAGGAGGTGATCTGGTTAAAGGTGTGCTTGTAGCAACATTTAAAATGAAAAAGAAACACAATATTTGATAAATGAAAGTGGTAGAAGTAGCCCTTACTGATACAGGGGGCTATGGGAGAGCGGCTCTGCTGGTAGCCCTTGGCACAGCGGTTGCAGGTGATCCCCGTCACGCCGTCCTTGCAGGGACACTGGCCTGTTGTCTGATTACACGTCTTCCCTGCTGCTCCAACTGGATGGCAATCGCATGCTAAAGAGGGAAGAAGAGCACCAAGCTAAACTGTACACAAGTAAACAACTTGCAAGTTAAAAAAGAAAAAGAAAGGAAACACGAGCGGTTAAAAGTAAAAAACAGATATCAGCTTACAAATGACTACAGCATGTCTCGGGCCTGTCCTCTGCTGACTCTACATATTCTATACAATAAAAAAGTCATCTTAGCACTAAAACCTAGTAAGAAATCATTCGCATTAGAGGAGGCTGTGTTTTGCTTCCAGACCATCACAGATGGGGAACTGGGCCCTGCACCAGCATAAAACCTCAATCAAATTACACTGCTTCCCTCCGCCCATTACGACCATAAGATTCTTCATTAGGTCTGCTTTGGAAGGCACGCAGAAGGGTAAATAACTTGATTAATTACAGTGTTTCACTTTCACCGCGCAGCACGACACCAAATGTTTGGCGTGTGCGCGTCACGGATGTGTCTGTGCGTGAGGGCAGGGAGCTCCTCGCGAGCCGGCTTTGAGTCCTCTGCTTCGGTGCAATCAGACAGGCTGTGCGCTCTTCAGATTGAGTTTCCAATGTAAAGCCTTTTGGCAAAAGGGCTCCTTGCAAATACTGCCTGAATAATGTTTCCCAGTAATGGACGAGTGGAACGCACTTCAAAGTGTGTTTAAGCTTTTAGTTGGGAGGATCGCACGTTAAATGTGAGAAATTTGTTCTGTGTGTGTGTCACTGCCAAACTTTTACTATAAAGCCAGTGTTTGAAGTTGAAGCCCAACCTCCCTATTAGTCCTGCATGTGTACCAGCAGAGTCATTCGAAATTTGCTTGAAGTGGTCCAGTAGACGTTGCTTTTTACTTGGAATTTATGGAGCTTTATGAACATTAGGGGATGCTTATTAAATCTTTCTTTAAGAAAGCCTAACGTCTTTGTTTTTCTTCTGCCTCATTCGTATCATATAAAAGCTTCTGCCAGTTTGCTGAAATAAAACCAAATGGTGACAGTTTTAGGGATCTACCTCTTTTCCCCTCCAAGAAATCAACACCAGTGTGTTTTTCACATAAATCCAAGGGATGGTCGTTTAACGGAAACCATAGCTGCAATAAAATGATCATCACATAAGCTAACGATAAAAATTAACAATGCGATGGAGAGATGTTTTGTTTCAGTCGAAACATTTCAACCAGCTTAGTTTTCTTTTGACTGCTACTGTATGTTTGCATGTATATACTGCAAAATATCAGTTCATACAAATAAAATTTCAAGCTAGTATGGGAACAAAGCTAAACTGTAACTTCTGGTTTCTGCTCCACAAGTAATTAAACCTCATTTCAAAATCCTATTGACTTTATGACAACACTGATTAAAATCCAGGCTTGGAAGAGGTCTTTTGTCAACAAATGCTGTGAGACTTGCTTCATATGTCTGGATAAAGGCTGTAATCAAAGACTCAAACAATCCAACTTCGTTATTTATTCAATAATTCAGGTTTTTGCAGGAGTTAATTAACAAAATTTCCCATGAGCAACAGACCACAGGGAGTTAAATGTCACTTTGACAAAAGAGTTCATGAGCAGGTTGTGGCTTTGCTTCAGATACTAATAACAGCAGGATGGAGACAAGCATGTTGTCGTTTTCAGGGCGCAGAGAGTAAAGCCAACAACTAAAAGACATTGAAATATGACTTTGGAGGAGAGCTTTGGTGAATTTTATGGATATAACTTAAGATCCAGGGCAAGCAATAGAAGCAAGTATCTGGATGATGACTTTAAAATTAAAGTGGCTCTTATTTATTTTGCTGCAGTGTAAAAAAAAGAGAAAAAGCCGAATTTTTTCATGAGAGATTGTAATTTTATTATGGTGTTTAAGTGGATTAATGAATCTTCCACACACTAGGACAGAGTTGCTAATTGTAAGTGGAGACTCTCTTTAGCACATTTGAGTACACTCATGCTTTAAAGGTACTTACACAACATTATGACCAGGAGAAGTGAATAACACTGATTTTCACTTCATCCTGGCACCTGCGAACATTATGTACTCAAAGTTTATGTGTTAGAAGGAGGAAAATTGGGCAAATGTAAGAACTTGAGAGAGTTTGGCAAGGACCAAACTGTGATTGCTACATGAGTAGGTTAGATCATCTCCAAACCTGCAGCTCTTATGGGATGTTCTCGGTTTGCAGAGGTCAGTATCTTTGAAAGTGGTCCAAGGAAGGAACAGTGGTGAACCAGTGACTGGGTCATGGGCGGGCAAGGCTGTGTGGCCTGATCCTACAGATGAGCAACTGTAGCTCAAATTGGTGATTCTCATAGAAAGGCATCAGAATACATCACGGTTTGTTGTGTATGAGGCTGCATAGCTGCAGACAGGTCAGGGTGCCCACGCTGACCCCTCCCCACCACTGAACACACCAACAATTGACATATGAGCATCAGAACTGCAGCACTGAACAATGAAAGAAGGTAGCCTGGTCTGATGAATCACATTTTCTTTACATCACGTAAATGACTGGCTATGTAGAAACACCTGACACCTGCACGATGGGAAGAAGGTAAGCCAGCAGAGGCAGTGCAATACTTTATTTAATATTCTGCTGGAAAGCATTGGTCCTGCCATCCATGTGGATGTTACTTTGAGACTTCAGCATTGTTGCAGGCCATGTACACCCTATCATGGAAACAGTACTTTCTGGTGGCTGTGGCCTCTTTCAGTAGGATAATGGACCCTGCCACGAAGCAAAAATGGTTCAGGAATGATTTGAGGAGCACAACAAAAAGTTTGATGTTTCCTCCATTTGCGTTAAAGCCTGTTGTTAGCTTTGGAGAGTTTTAAGCTATTTCAGTATTTAAACAGAAGAATTTACCATCAGTACCTTTAAAGATGGCTGCACGAGGTGACGAATGACATCTTTAATAGTTCAAAGTAGAAATTGGGGTTCTTCCAAGTCTAGTTTACATCTCCTGTAGCTCGGTGGTGTCAGATTTGTCAATCATGCTGCTTACCTCTGTTGTTGTAGGTGAAGTAAGCCTCATTAGCTTAAGCTGGCTAGCAGTGCAGTTACTCATTGCTAATTAGGGTCTTTAAGTCTGCCACTAATATGAATGTCTTAATCTTGTAAAATTATTTCAGACTTCTATCAAAGACAGAATTCAGCTAAAGATTCAGAGTGATCATTATAGATGTGCCTAAACTGCCAAGGTCTAACAATAACACTAACGCTGAAAGCAAGTAAGCATATTTCCTAAATATTATTTTTCTGAATCATATTTATTTAAGTAGTTGTAGACTTGACTCGAAACTCTTTAAGGTTTCCAAAACAATATTTGATCTAAAACTGTGTAAGCGGAAGGATAGGCTAGACTGTATATTAACCACTGGAAAACTACAGTACTATTGCCCTCATAACAGGTGTTAAATACCGGAAACATGACTTAATTTCATGAATGGTTACTGAATGGTTTAGGAGGGAAGGGGGGGGGTACGATGCAGTGAACCATGTACCAGTTCCATCTCTCTGGACTCACCGTGCCTAGTTAAATACTTCTAGGCTGCCAACCGTAGGAGGTAATTCGAGAAAAAACAAACTGTCAGGGGCGGGCGGCGTGCGCTGTGGTTCTCCATGAGCCACGTTTACACTGCGCTTGATGAGGGGTGAAGTTGTTAATCTGGGAAATAAAGCATGAGGCATTCCATGTAGCTATTGGAAAAGTAGGCACAGTATAAGGAAGAGCCTGTTTTTTTCCCACTAAACCTCCAAGCAAATTATTGGGAGGAATGTTTTTTGTTGAGATGTGAAGTATTTTGGGGGGTGGAGGGGGAAGCAGGCAGGCGCAGGAATGGAGAATGAAAGCAGACTTCCTCCTGGCTGTGTTGGCGCTGCGCTGTATTTCCTGTCCAACAACAGCAGAGTGGGATGGTTGGCTGAATTGAACAATAAATATAGCGGTTTTTAACTGATGTCACATCACCGTGTTTTTGTCACCTGAGGAGTAAGGCAGCAATCAGGCTGTTTGGGTTTGATTCCAGAGCAATGAGCAGCACACGTGAAGGGGATGGGAAGAAGGGCTTCTAGTGTTCAGGTTACACTACAGCTGTTTGTAAAGACTTTGGAAAGATGTATGGGTGTTGCTTCACCATTAGGCGCAGTGAGAACCTCTGTTAAAATAACCTGCTCTTAGCTCTGACCCCCTGAACTGAACAACTCCCCAAATATAGCCTGAGAAAATGTTTATGCTGGCAGACTGAAACAGTGCCGCGAAGAACCATTCGTCATGTTTTAAGCTAAGTGCGCAGATGATCTATCAGGCTTCAGTTCGCCTCATGCAGCAAGCTCTGTTTGAGGGTGTCTCTGATATAAAACGCCTCTATAAAACGCATTTGTGGGCTCGGCTTCTCGTGCACTCGCTTTCCTTTCATGCGAGCTGGAGAAGTCTGAGTGAATTAGGAGAGGAAGCTGTTGTGGCATGCAGTAGGAAATATCACGTTGCTGTTCCGGTGTTTTGATAGCCAGCGGTGTACCAAGGATAGGGGCACCAGAGGATAGGCATTTCAAGACTTTGTCACCAGCCAATCAGAGCTCAGCGGTGGATGTGGCTGAAGACCACACTATGAGCATCTATCCAGAGTTTCTCATTTGTCATTAGTGTGTGGGAAGAGGTTGGAGATTAAATGCACAGAGGCAGGGTGAAATATTGTTTAAACAAAGCATGCTGAGGCACTGCTGTAAAGTTAGTAAAAAATTACATTATTTGTTATCCAGACTTTCCATCCAAAAGGCAAACTTTAGCCCGACTGATTACAGAAATAAAGAACAACGGTCCATGCACTCTTACTGTACATATCTCACACAGGACTGTTTGTGCATCTGTTGAGTATTTTGCTAGTGCATGTGACTGAGTGACAGCAGTTTGTTTGCTCAGGGCTCTGAGCCTGTCTTTACTCCCAGAGGTGCTGCAAGACAGAAGGAGCTCAGCTTTTGTCCCCCACGCACATTAATCCTCTGCAGCTCGACGTATGTGCTCACACCTGTGTGCGCGTGTTGTTTTTCCTTTCTCCCCGTCCACATGCGTACGTGCGTTGGAAGTATGAATGGAAGAGAGGGACGATTAGCGAGCTGTTTTCACCGCTCCACTCAGTGGATCAGCTCGCACCTTTGCTTTGTTATGTTTGTCTTGTCAGGGATTCACTGAGAACCTCAAATATCTGGGGAGCTGCAGGGGTCCTTTCATCGACACCAAGACAGGTGTGTGCTTTACTCGAAACGTTTTAACGAATTCTTGTCATACCTGAACATGGTGAAGAGTGAGTGTATAAACTATTACAAAGAGCCTGGTTTTGGAGATTACAGTTTCTATAAAAACTACATCTTTCCTTTTTTTGTGATTTTTGTAGGCATTTTTTTGTAGTATTTCTTGGCCAAATTTGTATTACTTAACTTAAGTTTCATTTATTTTTTTGGTAGCCTCTCTTTTAAAGGGCTGGGATTTCTGGATCCAAACATAGACTGTATATAAAAGATAGTCGCATACCCAGACATTGGTGGTGTGGGCATGTGGTGGTTTTTTCACACTTTTTTTGGAGCCAGAAATAACAATAGTCAATAACAATATGATTCTGGGTCATACCTAATAAAAGTCTATTTTGGAGGGTTATCTGGGGAATCCTCACTGGCTAACAACTTGCAATTTCACTGTGAGATCTGACACACACTGGCTTCAAAAAACCACGTCAGAAACACCCACCTCAACGTTTCAAAACAGGACTTCACAAACCAGTTGGTGACTTCTTGTAGCTGCTTTCATCTTATGCCAACGGGATACTGAACACTGACTCGATGGATGTTTTTTTTAGACAACTTAGATCAGCGGTCCCCAACCTTTTTTGCGCCATGGACCGGTTTATGCCCGACATTATTTTCACGGACCGGCCTTTAAGGCAGCGGTCCCCAACACCCGGGCCTCGGACCGGTACCAGTCCGTGAGTCGTATAGTACCGGGCCGCGAGAGTTGAGGCTCAGGTGTGAAATGTATGGTTTTTATCGGTTTTCAGCGTTATTTTGTTATCATTTTTATCGTTAACTCGGTTTTCCTGGGCCTTTCCCGTGTGTTATGAATAAATCTTCTTTTTTTCGGTACCGGTACTAGTTTTATTTTGTTGTATTTATCTGCGACACCTTAAAGGCCGGTCCGTGAAAATAATGTCGGGCATAAACCTGTCCGTGGCGCAAAAAAGGTTGGGGACCGCTGCTTTAAGGTGTCGCGGATAAATACAACAAAATAAAACTAGTACCGGTACCGAAAAACAGAAGATTTATTCATAACACACGGGAAAGGCCCAGGAAAACCGAGTTAACGATAAAAATGATAACAAAATAACGCTGAAAACTGATAAAAACCCTGAAAACGATACATTTCACACCTGAGCCTCAACTCTCGCGGCCCGGTACTATACGACTCTCGGACCGGTAGCGGTCCGAGGCCCGGGGGTTGGGGACCGCTGACTTAGATAATGACATTCAGATAATGTTGGGCTTTTATAATCCAAAGCACACCAACGCCGAAAACATGCTCAAGAGGTCCAGCTCAGTGCTACAGATGAGTTGAGGTGACACCTAGTGGACGTCTCTTTTCAAGCAACCACACCTGAAAGCCCTCAATTTTTGGCTTTAAGCCTTGTTTTGTGCAGCTTACAAGATATGAGATTTTTAGATGTTGCTTACTCAAATCTGTTTTGCCGGCTCTGTAGTGTGGTGGTTTTAAACATTTGCCTAACAGTTTCATCCCAGGCAGAGATACAAATCCCTTTGGGGATATGTGAGGAAGAGTATCCAGTGTAAAAATCTGCCAAATCAAACACATGGAGCTACCTGCTATGCCAAACCTCGTGATAAGGCAGCAGCCAAAAGTCGCTTACTCAAGTCTGTTTTAAACATTCTACTTGTATACATTGTACCAAGCACAGCATTTTTTTTCCTTTTGGAAGAGACCTTCAACATGTGTCCAAAGGTTGGTCTTAGAGAAAGACTGAGGATCATTCATATTCCAAGAATTACACCATACCATCCTGTTACCTTTGCAAGCTCTGCGGTGAGAGATGGATTTGGTCATGTCCCTGTAGTAACCCTCCTTGCAGTAGTGACAGTGGCGTCCTGCTGTGTTGTGGCGACAGTTGAGACAGACTCCACCGCTTCTACGGCCGGACAGCTTGTACAGCTCCATGTTAAAACGACAGCGGCGGGCATGCAGATTGCAGTGGCAGGCTGAGTGCATAGAGAGAGAAAGAGAGAGGGAGACTTTCATCACTAATGCAGAAACTCCTACCTTGACATTTTGCAGCTGGGCTAAGCATAATAAGTTCATTACTTAGTTTATTGAATTTAAACAACCCTTTGTGGTAATGCCATTGAAAACCGTTCAGTTTTTCTGATTTTCATGTTTTCACTTTGGTTGCGTGGTTACACAGTCCCCTGTCGTTTGACACACTCTAAACCCGTGGACACGCAAAACCAAATGCGGTGTCATCAAGCTAGAAAACAGCGCTGTTTTTCTTAGCTCCTGAAAAGGTGACATTTTAGAAATATGAGCTTGTTATCTGACAGTGACGAACTCGGCACACAAGTTTAAAGACTTTCCAAATTGCAATTATGAGGCAGCCAAATTCAGTCTGAGAAAATGCACTTTCTTAAAAAACATCACAGAGTTCAATCTCCCAGTATGGGTTCGTCAGAGTAAGACGAGGTTATTGAAACAGATGGTGTGCTGTGGTCTGGATTGGAAATAATGAAGCCTCTAAAAGAAACGTCCTGGTTCAAGCTCTGTGACGCTGGGCCACCTGCTTGTGAATTTAACCTCTGAACTCTGGTGATGTCTGGCAGGAAAACTTTCTTCCGCTCTCCCACGCATCTGAGAGACTTGTTAATATCGACCCCAAGATACATATTGCACTGATGCATTAAATAAAGAATTCATTTTTGAATAAAAATGACATTGTACCTGTTTAATTTCTCACACTTTTGTCACTGGTCACACAGTTCAATTCAATTAGCTATTAGATTATTAGCTATAACAAGAAGTGTATCAGAACAAGTATTATTAAACCAAGTACAAGTCACTGAAATGACAGTAATACTTGGTTTAAGCAATTAACAAGCTGACTAGCTATATTGACCTGTGAGCTTGGCTCAAAACACACAAGTGACACAAAGTGTGTTTCCTCCAAGAGCCACTTGAGGCTGCTTCCAAATGTTGAGCAGAAAATTAAGCATGGGGAAAATAAGCATAGGCTAGTACAAGTGTACAGTGTTGATTTTGTATAAATACTTCATTAAATTCTATGAAAATTGTCATAACACTGAGGTATTTATGTCCTAACTAAGCTAACGTGCTAGAGCTAGCATTAACTGATACTGTTTACCTTTCTGGCTCTACCTCCTTGTCCAAAGTAAAAATAAAAAAACAAATAAAAATCAAAATGGCAAGTCAAAACTTTATAAGCATAGTCCATTAAATACATGCTTTTGTGTCTAGGTCAATTTTTTAATGTAAATATGGAGCATCTCTAAAATGTTAGCTAGCTTCTGTTATCTCAAGTCTGTCTTTGTGATTTTCACAGTTATGTTTCTCAGAGGAACATCAATGAGGAAGATTAGTAAGAAAAAATTAGTAAGCTGCTTTATTACCACTGGCTAAACTAAGTAATAAATACCCTTAATTACTATGGGTAGCCAGTTAACAGGGTGTGAACTGACTGAAGTGTGACCTTCTCTCCTGAAAGTATAGATAGATAGATAGATTGAGCTGACATTGTCAGAAACCCATTGTCAGGCTTTCCTGGTGAGGTAATCATCTTCTCTTCACCCTTCACCGGGCATTCAACCCATATTTGATAAATGAGCAGGATGAAGGCAAATGTGCTTGTTTTCTTTCTAAACCTCCGAGGGCCTGGCGTCCACATATGTGGACATCACATTTTGGGTTATCTAGACCACAATACAAAATTCTGCTCTACGAGGGCCTGATATCTACTTACGAGGATATTGTACTGCCACTGTTCTATTGACATTTTAAACAAATGTCCTCATATGTAGAGTATCATCAGGTCCCAATCAGCACAAATAGCAAAGGGAAATTAGGTTTAGGCAGTCGTCTTTATTTGTTTCACCAAAACATCACCAGACTAAAGTTTCAGCATAATGTCGGCAGACAGTACATGATTGCTGTAATCTCTGTTTCAGTGTTAGTGCTGGTTTTTCACTTTGGATTTACTGTATGCACGTCCCTTTTCATTCAGCCCATTTCTTACCGTTCCTTCGCAAACATTGGCTCACATTTCTGCACATTTGCTTTTCATTTCTTGTTTTGGTGCAAATAACATCTTTAAGGAGTTGCGTAATCTTTTCCATTGTTTCCACTAACAGCTCTCTTGCTGGGGCCACGCTTCCTTTCAATTAGCCAGGTACAACAGCTTATTTTAACATATTTAGATTTGTGTAGGTATTTGTTTCAGACTCGCAGAACACAAAGTGATTCCACAATTCTTCCTCTACTTGGAAAATATATGTGATGAATTAACCTAATTTAATTAAACTTGTTTGATTCATGCGTCACACATTTCAAACTTTGTTTTGTGTCATATTTGTGCTCGCTCTATTTGCTACAAAGTGAAAAGCTGGATCCTTCAGGTGTTTTGATTCTATAATTTTTGCCAGGTCTTGTTGCATGCGTTGCCTTTTAAGCAAAAGTGAAACAAGACACTGCTTTGGGGGAACTTTAGTGTTTTTGTGGCAGGGTAATTTTGCAAGTTATTTTATATATAAACACCCAGCACGCCCCTGCGGGCGGTTTATCCTTCAAGCTCGGGTCCTCTACCAGAGGCCTGGGAGCTTGAGGGTCCTGCGCAGTATCTTA